AAGGGGGGGACAAGCTTTTTAGTAGGGCCAGCTGGGACAGGACAAGGGGGGATGGCTTTAAACTGAAGCAGGGGAGGTTTAGGCTGGATGTAAGGAAGAAATTCTTTCCAGTGAAGGTGGTGAAACCCTGGCAGGGGTTGCCCAGAGAGAGGGTGGAGGCCCCATCCCTGGGACCATTCCAGGCCAGGTTGGAGGGGGCTGTGAGCAACCTGATGTGGTTCAAGGTGTCCCTGCTCCTGCAGGGGGGTTGGGCTGGGTGACCTCTGGGGTCCCTTCCAACCCAAACCATTCTGTGATTCTGTGATTAATCCTGTACCTCCTGTGCTTCTCTCGCAAGCAGCACCTTGGTCACTCGATTACACGGAGAGACGAACGGAAGCAAAGCTGTTGGTGCGCACGTGTGCTCGACTTGGCAGTGAGCCACGTGGAGTAAGGAAATGAAAACCCCACGGCCGCGGAGAGGTTTTTGTCAGCTTTCAGGGATGCGCAGGTTCTTGAATCGCTTCCTTCCTCTTACGGGCTTTTCTCATGAAGCTCAGGTGTTATAAGTATTTTTAAACCTCATGTGTTAGAGAGGCCAGGCCAGAGTTTGTGTTTGCTTACGGGAGGCTCTGTAAAGCCAGGGTGGGGAGCCCTGCGCTGCAAACGCTTGTTGCTCAGACAGGGCTGGGGCTTGTGGCCTCGAGCTCAGTCCCCTCTTTCACCGTGGGCTCCTTTGCGAGTCCTCGCAGTCTCGGCTCCTTTTGCCAGAGATTCCCCATCCCGCTGTGTGGACACAAGGAAGCTGATGATGATTTTGCACGTTGAGGGAGCACAGGCTCTGCCCGTACCATGGTCCAGCACTTGCTGCTGTAGGAGTAGTAGAGCTGTTGTCTTAACTTCCATGCTTGTCCTTACCAGCTCGCTGCTATGAAATACCCATCTCTTGCTTTCGTTACATTATTCTGTTCTGCTTCTTTCCTCTCTCTCCTGGAACATCATCTTAGCCCTTGTCTGCCAAGCAACCCCTTATTCCTGCCTCTTTCTCCACCATGGTCTGGCTCCTGCTCGCCTGTCTCTGGAGCTTCGTCTCCTTCTGCTCGATGCTGGCACGGGAGGGCAGGAGGTGGAGGTAAAGCACGAGGTAAATCAGTGACTGAGTTAGCAGAGAAGGGAATGGAGCAGCAGAGGATTTGCTGGGGTTTGGAGCAGGGCTTGGAGCCTTTGAGATGTTTTAAGTGTGGGTTTGGGTTAGTAGAAGAGTTCGATGTCAGGCTTTACCCACCTTGAGCTAACCAGTCACCGTACAAGTATATATGTGAGGGGTATTTTTTCCCATGAGCTGTAAGGCTCCATACCATTTCACTTGCTGCTTCTGCTCTGGGCATTGGGAACTCTGCAAAATCCAGGCCAGTGGGGTTTGTGCAGGGCAATCCAGGTAACCCCAGCACGGGTTCAGGCGCACCTGAGCTGACCGGGACAGAGGCAAGTCTGGAAGCAAGTCTTGGAAGCAGTTTGAGTGGATGTTTGCAGCACTCTGTTAAATCAGACTTGCCCCTGCACCTGAGGCGTGCCGTGCTGTGAGCTGACCACACGCTGGATGCCTGCGAGTCCTGGGCGTCGTGCAGGCAGGCGCAGCGAGCAGCTGGGTGGTCACACTGGTGTTAAAAAAATCTCGTAACACCATTTGTGGCAGCTGAGTGTGCTTTTGCTTAAAAAGGGAAAAAGAAAAATATTCCACCTCTGGCTTACGCATCTTGTGTAGTGCCCAATTCCTCTTTTTTTTTTTTTTTTTTTTTTTTCTTAATGTGTTGGGATTTTTGCTTTCTCAGTTCCCAGCAAGTCATGTTTACTGGGTGTGAGAGCTCTGGGCCTAGAGGGAGAGGCAAGGCACTGTTGGGAACCATGAAAACCCTGAATGCAAACAACATTTTTGTTAATAAACTGCCTAGACATGAAAGGGTGATGAAGCTTTTTGTAGAGAAGTGCAGAGGAGAAGAGAAGGGATTCTTCTTGTAGAGAACCTGCTGTGCCAGCTTGTTTGGCCCAGCAAAACAAAGCTCAAAAGGGAAAATATTGCTGAATTGAGGGAAAAGGGCAGTTCTGCACAAGCTCAGATGGGCATAGGCTGGTACAAGTCAGGTTAGCCTGGAAATTAGGAAAAAAAATCTCTGACCGAACAGAGAAATAATGAGAGCAAAGTCCTGTTTAGTCCCGAAGAGGATAAAATATTGTATAGCACCTGCAGGAGTGAGAAGTGGGATCAGAGATGCTCTGTATGGCTTGGGAACGCTCTT